AGAGAGAGAGAGAGAGAGAGAGAGAGAGAGAGAGAGAGAAATGCTGGGCTCAGAAGCACTATTGTGATTTGAATTACGGCAGTACGCAAACTCCACCCCAGTAATTTTAAACCACAGTTTATAGCTTTAAAATATGAAGCAGGCATAACACATATTTAAGAAATTGTTTTTAAAACAAACCATGATTTTATGCAATGTGTAATTTGGTCATTGACTCTGAGGATGCTCAGCTGTTGAGAGAAGATAATGACAAACTACTTCCACATTGTTCTAGGATTTGTTTATTAATTTTTAATCTCCCAGCCATGCTTAATGCTTAGGATTTTCTAATGATTGCTCATAGAAGTACTAATCTGTTTCAACATTGCTAATAATAATAATGGAAACTATTGACGGGTATAAGAGGAATGAGAGAGAGATTGAATAAAACTTTTTAATTCAATATCATTTATTAAAATATTACCTAGCATTCGCTCCAAGCTTCTATGTACATTTCAAGGCACAGTTATTTTGAAAGCACACAACTGTATTCATGATACTTTGAATAATTGTTATTGACATCAATGTCATTGGTTTTCACCCATATCTAAATTTAAAACTCAACGTATTGAAGTGCATTTTGATATGAATCTTCGCTTTATTTTAGGTCATGGTAAACTTGCAGTTACACACACACACAAACATGCAGAAAGACAGAGAAAAAGAGAGAAGCATTGTGATACACTTTTCTATTTTGCATAGTTTTATATTAAAGTTAATAGATTGAATTTTGTATATTTCTACATGTCAAAAGTAATGTAGCCTCCCTTAATTGAAGAAAGAGATGTCACATAAAAGGTTATGTTTTTTTTTGGGGGGGGGGGTTAGGAGCTTTCAGAAAGGAAATAATATCCTTGAGTTGCCATGCATTCTACCAAAGCTTTTTACAAGCTATTTTGCACGTCTTAAATGTTGTGACTGCAATTATTCTCACTGCTTCATCTACCCTCCAAAGACTTCTTTGTGATTTCAGTATGGAACTATTTTGACAGGTCATTTTAACTTACTTAGCTGTGGAGCTCCAAGTCCTCATTTTCTATTCCTTGAATATGGTCTCAGTGAATAGAATCTTATTAGACGTCAATATCAGTGGTGGGTTCCAGGTGATATGGCCCGGTACGGGTGTACCAGTGGCAGCTGGGAGCAGCGGCCACCGTACCGGAACAGTGTTTTGGTGGGGCCACCCACCCACCCATGTTCCTTACTTCTTTTTGAGGGAAACGGGCCAATAACGCATGTGTGCACAGCATACGGCACCTGCACAACCTCACCAAGCAGCTGGGGCATTGCAGGGCGGTGGCGTGCACATGTGTGCACAGCACACATGCCCGAGGTGGATGTCTGGCCCCGTCGCAGCATACCAGTTGTGATGGGATCCAGAACCCACCACTGATCAACATGTGATATTTTTAACTTTGATGCATTGTCTTTCAGACATGGGTTTCCACAGAGTGCAAAGAGAGGACCACTTACAGACTTAACAAGTAACTTTATCATCTCAATGTGCCACTAACATTTACTATGTAAAGGTAGTCCTTGAGTTACGAATGGAATGGAGCCTACCCATTCCATTCGNTTTAATTAAGATATTTAAAAGAAGTTAAGATTGTATTATTACTAGTTAAATCATTGGTGGGAAAACTGTATAAATTAAACAAGAGGTGCAGCTTGGCTTTTGAAATGATTATCTAGAAACTAAGCGAACAAAACCTAGCAAATAAAGAAGTGGCAATCCACAGTTGTTGGAGATGGCGCTGCACATAATACACATCTGTTGTTTGAGGCAGCAGAATATGTCAACTTTCATACCAGTAGTTTATATTACTTGAATTTGGCTCATTTTAATGTGGCATGGCCCAACCGTTAGCATCAGAATTTAAACATTCCAAATGATTTTTTTTTCTTTTTGAATTCAGTTTTAAGTCATTTTTGCCAGTTGTTTAGTGAATCACAGAAGTTGTTACGTTAGCAGCATGCTTTGTTAAGTTAATGTATCTGACCTATTGATTTTGCAGAAGGCTGCAAAAGGTAAATCGCATGATGCCCAGCATCCAAATTGTGATCATGTGACTATGGGGATGCTGCAATGGTCACAAGTGTCAAAAATGATTACAAAACACGTTTTCAGTGCCACTGCAACCTCAAATGATCACTAAACAAATGGTTGTAAGTTGAGGACTATCTGTAGGTTGAGGTGTGGAATCCTTGATTCAGTTACAGGTGTATTTTTCTGCATAATCTGTGGCTGAAAACCTTTCTTTGCTTTATGGATTTCATTATAAAGGCAGTCGAATCATACTATTTTGCTTCATATTATCAGATCCAAGGAACCTAAACTCTTCATATATATGGCATCTCTTTTCATTAAATAAGTCAGTTTCAGCCTCCTCTTTTGGGATCCTGTCTTGGTGCCACAAAGCAAATATAACTGTATCCTTTGTGGCTGTTGTGAAAGGAGGAGAAAATAGGCAAAGCTTGATTGGGTGTAATTCATTTGCTAGTAATGGTCCTATTACAGTAATTACAATTTTGTCATTGTGGCTCTGCAGTGTTTAAAGAACCTGGCCTGTGGCTTAATTGCAGATTTATAGCAACCAATGCTTTGGGGAATACTGTTGTCTGTAATCATGTTTTGGCAGCTAACGGTTTAAAAAACAGAAGTTCCTTAGCAATTGTGGTGTATCTGAGGAGCACAACCACTGTCATTTGATCAGAATTTGAAGCAAAATAAGGATAAGCTCAATGTGACATAAATGTAGACATATAGCCGGGTGTGTATTATAGTTTTTAGACTGCATAGACTCAGCCTATGCAAGTTCTGTGGCATCTGACAAAGGAAAAGGAAAACAGACAAATAGATATAATAACTATTAAGGTGCTTCATGCATTAGGACTGGGAAGGTGTAGCATCAAATAGTCATTTGATTTCAGAGCCTCTTAAACCAAGTGACTATAAAAGTGGATAGTTAATTTAATCTAGATCCAGATATAAAATATAATTAAATAACCCATCATACCTATACTAATCAACAACTTTATTGGAGCAATTAAACCACTGCATATCTACTATGTACTTAACAATAACTGTTGTCATTGAGTCACCTGCCACAGGGGGAAAGTTAGCATTGGAACAGAATTCTAAAAAACGTTGCTTTTTTAAGTGTTATTAAATATCACTGAGATGAATAGATTAGAGTTCTTTTTATTTGTCATCCTTCCCTGACAACCCTTATTTCCTGCCATTTGAACTTAGGAGAAGGCCAGATGCTACCAGTAAAGAACACACAAAAAGCTATCAGAACATGTTAAGAATTCCCCAGTGTGTGTGGAAATAATAGCACTTCATCTTCTTCCTAGTCATCCATTTATTAGTTCCTCGCCATGCCTGTGTTGTTGTTGCTGGACCATACACTGTAATTTCAGATGACTGATAAAGAATCAAATATTAGTATGTTCCTTCCTGTATTTTTAAGGATCAAAGTTACATAATTTAATTAAAATGGTTAATCTTCCATTGGATAGATAACCTGCTTTGTCCCACTCTCACAATATCGTTTGAAGTCCTTTAGTGCACATATAAGATGCTAATTTGAAAACATCCAGAAAAAGGAGGCATTGTTCGACCGTTGGCAACTAAACTCTTGCTGTTTTGTAGTTTGCCGGGAAGATTCTCATCAGTCAATCGTCTCCTGTTCCGCCACGCTACTGACTCCTGTTGAATCAGCTGAAAACAAGAAAAAGGAATTTCCTCAAATGCCTGAAGTGACTAAACAGTGAGTGAACAATATAATTTTATAATTTTAATGGCACTCAACCAATGTGGATTAGCTTATGTATGTCTTTCATTTTTGACATCCTAAGTTTCTGATAAAAGTTTCAATTCTCTTTTCCACTTAAGGGATTTTTTTCCCAAAAGGATCTCAAGAAATGCCTATCTAATCACTGGAATAAATTGTTCTTGATAAATGTTGATCTGAATCTAAAATATTGTTGACTAATGAGTGATTGGAAGATTACATGGGATTTTGTATGGGGGGGATTTCCACGGTGATAATGGAATGAATAGATTAAAGTACACAGTATACAGTAAAATATGCAGTATATACAGTAAATTGTTTAATAGTATTTTGGTTTTCACATTTACACCAAAACACTGAAGTTGTCTAGGTCTCATCTGGTAGAAGTAAGCCATTTTTTGTGGCAAAATGGCAGAAACTAGCAAAACACATTGAGAGTTGTGGTCATGTGACTGCAGAATGCCGCTGACCCACATGATATGCAGTAATGTGACCATGGGGTGATGCTGGTGTGACCATTTGTGATGCTTGGCTGTATGGGCCGTTTTGTGCCCATTGTAACTGAACAGTCATAAAATCAACACTAAATTTAAACTATCTGTAGCCATATCATATTCTAAGCAGCATAACTATAAGTGAAAAGCTGTAGGATTGGATTGGATTGGATTAGATCAGGGTGTCAAACTGGTGGCCCATGATCCGGATGCGCATAGGAGAAATGTCGCGAAACATCACATGGCAGCAATGTGATGCCATGAATTTGAAACTCGTGGATTAGATTGATGCAATATGCTACTTTGGGTATCTGATAAGAGGAATGGGTGCAATTAAAGGAAAATGTTACATATATTACAGGCATTATTTGAATTTTATACCTTAGGTATTAAGCTTTCTGAAATTTCCTGAAATTCAAGGCCTTGGAGCTTAATCAGTTGATTTCGATATTGGTAAGAAGTTGAATTGGTCACAAGTACAAATCTTGGCTTAAAGTCTGTACAAACCTATCATATGTAAACAGAGATGGAAAACGGTGGTTCTTCAAATGTAGTTAACCTAGAGTTTCCATTTTCCCTCACCACTAGCCCTCATGGTTACAGAGGGTGGAGGTTCTAGTTTAATAATATTTAGAATCAATGTATTCTTTGGTTCTTTAACATCTGTGATGTCTCTTGGATGATAATCTAGAGAGAGGCAAAGTTATCCATAATGAAGCAAAACCTACAAAAATCATATTTTAAATGGGAACAAGTATGATGTTAATGCAAAACAGATTGTATTTCTTGTTTCCAACCATGCTTACTCCCTTTATACCATGTCATTGCCTTGGATATTTTAAAGAAATTTTATAAGCATGTTTAGAGGAAAATGAGATAGAAAACTAATAAAGTAGAAATTTCCTCAAGTCTTTATTACATTTTTTGCACATAACTCTTCTTGCTATATGACATTTGTTGGGAACCAATTTACTGTTTAGATTCATAGAAATATTTTTTTTTTAAAAAAAAATGCTCTCACATTTGGGGGCATACAGTACATTCCATTACATGTTGGTACTGCCAAGGAGTTGGTTCAGTGCTGAAAGGATGCATATGCTAAAACATGCAAGGATTCAGAAGCTAAAACTTTCCTTTAAGTGATAGGAGGGGCTAAATATATTATGTCAATACTTGAGGAAGAAAAATAGAAGTTTGAGACATGATGATTTGGATTTTACTTTGACAGAAAATATTTCTCCTAGCTGAGAAAAAAAGTACTTTATAACTTGAGGGGGAAAAAAAGGATATTTCTAAGTCTAGCTCATCATAGATTATCATATGAATATTCAAACTGTCCTGAAGAGAGAATTCTATTGAGTCTGGAGAGAATTAGATGAGGAAGATACCTTAGCTGCTAAACATCCCAATTATTTAATGTTCATTGTAAAATAGCATTTTAAAAAATGGCATGTAACATAAAAGTTTACAGCCGCCCTCATTCATGACAGATGATTCCTCAATATATTTTTGCCCGATTCCATTATTTTCTTACTTTCAATCAGAGTGGTATTCAGCAGGTTCTCACCAGTTCTGGAGAACCAGTAGCATAATGTTTGAGTAGTTCAGAGAACTATTTGCACATTTAAATCTCTCTCTCCTTTCCCTGGATAATGAAGAAATTTTAAAATGTGAATTTAAAAAAAAAAAAAAAACTTTAACAGGTCTGAATAATTTTGTTGCTTAATCTTGTTGCCAGCTCAGCCTTTAGAACTTACTGAAGAGATGAGTCAATCAATTCAATGAGCTTTGTGCTACAATAGCTAGGGAATTTGAGCCTTTATCTGTCTACTCACCACTGCTGTAGTCCTCCACAAGATAAAACATGCTAAAGTTTTCAGGGTGTTGGGGAATAGAATTTGATTCCTGCGGAATAGCAATAGCACTTAGTGCTATATTGCATTAAGCAGTACAACAGTTTTATACTGCTTCATAGTACTTTACACACCTTTCTAAGCAGGTTACAGAGTCAGCATATTTTCCCCAACAATCTGGGTAGCTGGGTCCACACTTTACCATTCTTGGAAGGATGGGAGGCTGAGTCAACCTTGAGTCAGTCAAGATCGAACTCCTGGCAATTGGCAGAGTCAGCCTGCAGTAGTGCATTCTAACCACTGCACCATCTTGGAATTAAATTCTGAATGGCGGATTCCTATGCTGGCATCCTAACTCATTATATTAAATATTTCTTACAGAGGTCCAAAGAGTTTGGGCTGATTTACAACAATTCAAATCTTTCAAAAAGCTTCCAAGTCCTACCAGATTAATTTCCAGCCAGTTTGCTTATTAAATATTATAAGTAAACTATATGCCAGACACATTTATGATTAATTTGTCAGCTGAGGGAAAAGTGCTAGCTTGCAGTGTTTGATGAAAGTCTCCACTTAAATCATTTGGAAGCAAAATACTCCCATTGCCTTCAATGAATTCCATGCTGCTTTCTATGAACTAAGGATGGCTTTTGATAATAGTCAATGAAGGAAATTGGCAGTGTCTTCTGCAGACTTCATCTACTCTAGTATTATGATGCTGTTTGGGAACATTTAAATAAAGGTAAAATATATTGTTGTCAGAGTTCCCACTCTCAAGGCACAGATGACCTGGCTCAAATTATCCTACTTGGAGCCATTGTGCGGAGATCTAGCTTTCTGGAGGAGGCTCAGATGCTGAGAAAGCTATAAGGAACAAGAAGAGAATAACCAGCAATAAATAGATGGATTCAGTTATTCCAGTGTACCATTGGAAGAACTCAAAGACAAATTAGAGACATATTGTCATGGGAAAAGTCTATGTGGATGCTAAGAGTTGATCCTGACTTAATAGCACAACAATCAGTTATAATCTGAGATCTTTTTGTATCTCCCATACTAACAGGAGTTCAGCAAAGTGCATCCATATTTCCATTTTATTTATATCTCACATTAATTCAATAGTGCAATATAGACAATTTCAAATACTCTTTCCTGTGGTTAGATCATAAACTTCTTTCTATCCTTCTGTATGCTGACAATGTCATTATTCCTTCCATGACTGAATTTGCCCTCTTCAGACTGTTTTAAATTGAAAATTAAAAAAAAAAAAGCTTTTACATATTTACCTCCCCTCCCCC